GCCCGCGCCCGCGCCCGCAGGTGAACCCACCGCCCGCGCCCTGCTGTCCCGGGCCGCGTGGTCGGCCGTCGCCATGGGAACGGCTGGAGCCCAGCCGGCGTCTGCCCTGCGTGGGAACGCGAGGCAGCGGGCAGGGAGCCCCGTCTGATGCCGCGAACCCACAAAAGCCTTATGAAAACGAGACCCCCTCCCCCCTTCTCATTTTTGGTTGTTCAGGCGTTGGCGTTGATCGGAGGAGCGGATGTGTTTACAAGATGTGAGTTGTGTTCTTTCCACCTTTACCTTCTGAGGGCTTCCCGCACCTCATGACAGGTGCGAGACTGAAGGGCACCATGAAGCCAGCAAAGAGAAAGAAAACCGAAGAACCCGAGCTGGAGCCCCTGTGCTGCTGCGAGTACATAGATCGGAATGGGGAGAAGAACCACATGGCTGCTTGTTTGTGTGACTGCCAGGATCTCGACGAGGGCTGTGAGAGGTAAGAACGGAGCCTTCCCTGGCGCTGACCCCGCCGGCCCTTGTGAGAGCTCCCGCGTGTACTTTGAGCTTTGCTGTCCGCAACCTTAGAATTTGCTCCTGATTCTGCTGAAGCAAAGCTTTAAAATTAAGAGTTTTGTATGGCAATTGAGAGTGAGGATTTTAGGAAAAGGAATTTCGCTGTAGCACACAGTTGTCCAGCTCCGTGTACTAGAACGTTACCCGTTTTCATTTCAAGAGAGAAGGTGGTGGAGAGAATAGGCAGATCAAGGGATAGTGGCATGTTACACATAAAGGACGCAAGCCAGCAGAATCTGCAAGTTTAAAATGGGTCTGTTAGTTCCAGAAAGTTCTTACATCCTAGTGGTTTTTTCGTTAGAGGCTCCTTGCATGAGATTGGTGGCATCTGATCCCAAAGGGCCTTGAAAAATGATTTTCCTGCTCTTGTAGCCAGAAGGCATGTGTCTCCCCTGGATTGACTATTTTCAGAGTAAGCAGAAATACTGTTTTAATCAGATTGTATTGAGCTTTTATCTTCACCGTTATCTCAGTGATGGAAATTATCCAAAGAGATGATTTTTTTAGCATTACTGAAAAAGTTCTGTATCAACAGTAATAAACTGGTAATAAAAATAAATAATTATATGTTTAAAAATTGTCCTGTGGAAAGCTTAATGTGGGAAAAATAAGGATGTGGGGAACTTTTTTTTTCCATTAATTACTTCTGCCAGCTAGATACAGTGGTGTGTGGCTGTAATCCCAGCTACTGAGGAGGCTGAGGCAGGAGGATGGCAAATTTGAGACCAGATTGGGCAATTTTGTGAGATCTTGTCTCAAAAAACGGGGTGGGGTGGGGATGTAGTTAAGTAATAGAGCGCCCCTGGATTCAGTCCTCGGTACTGTCAAAAAAAAGTCATTGTACCTGCAGATTGTTGACTTAGAACTTGATGCATTGATCTAGACATGAGAAGCATTCTCTGGGGACCTCTGCAGTCTTGTACCTACAAGACTCCTACAAACTGTCCATAACCCCTTTGTAATTCTTCCTTGACATGTTGATATCCTTTTTTTTTTCATTTTCTTTTTTGAGACAAAGTCTCAGTGTATACCTCAGACTGGCCTTGAACTCCCTGTGTAGCCCAGGCCGGCCTTGAACTCAGGGTGACCCTCCTGTCTCAGCCTCCCAGGTGCTGGGATTCCAGGCATGCGCCACCATGACTTCCGAGTATCTTTAAGTGTAGGGTTTTTTAGTCTTAATCTAAAATTCCTACTGAGAAAATGGAGCACTTTGCACTGATGATGGAGAGAGAAGCGATGCTCTTTCCATAGCCGAGGTCACTCAGCACCACAGCTTTTCCATTAGCTTTGCTAACTTTTCCCCCGCCCAGCCTTTGAGAGCGGGCTATCCTGAGTTCCCTCCTCTGCTCTCTCCATGCCCTGTTCCTCGGGAGAGGGGCTGCCAGCATCCGTGACGCCCACGTGCTCGTCTCCCAGTCACTCCCGAGTTCTCATCCGACGTTTTAAAACATCCAAAATCCAAGTTATCTTAAACTCTGTCTTTCCTTACAAGGCTGCCCTACTGTATTCAGGCTGCGATGCCAAAACACCTTAAAATAAGGAACTTACCAATGACAGAAATGCATAGCTTACAGTTCTGAAGGCTGTGAAATCCAGGATCACGGCTGTGGCAGATTCAGTAAGGGCTCTGTGCTTATGACCTAACCATCCCCTGCAGCCTCCACTGCTTAATACTGTTGCGCTGAGGATGAGGTTTCAACATGCGAAGGGGCTATGGCATTCTACTGTGCCCCCAGGATTCGTGTTCTCCCATACAAAATACATTCAGTCCATCGCAGCAGCCTCAGAAGTGTTTGTTTATTCCAGCGTCAGCACAAAAACCTTAAATCCAGAGTGTGGTCTAAATATTGTCGTCTAAATCAGATATGGGGAAGACTCAAAGGACGTTTCATCCTGAGGTGGATTTCTCCCAACTATGAATCTATGAAATAAATTACACGCCTCAGATACAGTAGTGGGACATGCATACAGTAGACATTCCCATTCCGGAAGTGAGAGGAAGTAATCCTTGACCGGATGTTCCACCTTTCAGACACACTGAGATGGTGCTAGGTTTTCCCTCTTCCACAGCCCGCACTGTGGCTCTCATGGGTTGGAGTTAGACGCCTACAGCTCTCCCTGACTAGAGTCGCATCTCAGGGACTGGCCCCACAGCTCTGCCGGGCATTGTGTCAGTGGGTCTTTATTGACCAGTGCTCCCACAGCTCCCTTTGTGGGCCCGCTGGGCACACCCTGGTGCTGCTCTCCGCCGCAGCTCTGCCCCCGTGGCTGTTCCGCCGTGGCCTTGAGGCTCTCCGGGGCATCCTCTGGAATCGATGGAGGTAGCCAGTCCTCCACAGCTCGTGCACCTTGCATCCCTATAGAGTTAGCACCGTATGGATGTCACAGGTATTTACTGCCAGTGCCCTTTGGAGGAGGGGCCTTTGACATCTTGTAACGGACAGGCTGAGAACGTTTCAAATCTTTAGTTTCTCCTTCTCTTTTGATTATAAATGGTTTCTGTTCTCACGTTTTACTACAGCATCCAAGAGAATCCATGCAGGGCCTTGAATGTCTTGTTTAGGATTTCTTCCACCAAATACCCACCCTCTGCAAGACATTAGGACATGAACATAACAGCCAGGATCTTTGCCACTTTCCAGCAAGGATCCGCCTTCCTGCAGGTTCCAGCCGTGCCGCTCCTTTTTACCAAGGCCTCATCAGAATGGCTGCTGCAATCCATGTTTCTACTGTGATGTGGCTAGCACAACTGTCCAGTGATGGCAAAACTGAACAGCTTGCTGCAGCATGCATGCCGCCGGTTCGCCGCCAGTCTTAGGCAGTTTCTGAGGGCTTTACAGCTCCTCTGTGAGCCCTCACCAGAATTGCCCTGTGTGGACTGTTCACAGCAGTGAAGGCGTTCTCCAGCTTGCATTTGAAAGCTTTTCCATCCTCTGCCCATCACCTTGTTCCAGAGCTACTTCCACAGGTTTCGGTTTTTGTTATAGCTGCATCCCCACTTCTTAGTACTAATACCTGCCTTTGTCTTTTTGAGTTGCTGTAACAAAAGACTTTAGATGGGGGAATTTATAAGTGAAGGAAATTTATTGCTCACAGTTGTAGGAGGCTGGGAGATCCAAGATCAAGGCTCCAGCATACACAGTGGCTGGTCAAGGCCCGTCTCTGCTTCAGAGATGGAGCCCTCTCGCTGTGCCCTCACCTGGTGGGAAGGTGCTAGTCCCATTCCCAAGGGCTCTGCTCTTGTGCATGACCTGATCACGTCCTGATGGCCTCATCTCTTGCCCTCCTTCCCTACCCCTCCTCCTTCCTTCATTCCTCCCTCTTTCCTTCTTGTCTTTCTCCTCCTCCTTTCATTTTGGTGACAGGGTCTCACTGTGTTGCTGTTTGAGTGCCAAGGTTCCTCTGTGTTGCCAAGGCCCAGGCTGAAGCCGTTCTCCTGTCGCAGCCCCCTGAGAAGCTGGGACGACAGGGCCCTGGCAGCCCCACCCTTCAGTGCTAATGTCTTGGGGCTTAGGGTTTAACGTACACATTTTGGGAGACGCACAGTCGTTCAGCATAGCCCAGGTGTGCAAATAAAGCCAGCGGACGCCGTTCTGTTCACCAGTTACCAGGCTGACTAGTTCTTCCCTCCAGCCTTCCGTATGCAGAGCCGTGTTGCCCCTAGACTGGTTTCCCTCCTGGGTCCCAGACAGGTGTTGCCTTGTCTTCACTGCAGTGCCTCTCTCTACATGACCAGCGGTCGTGGCCAAACCCGGATCACACCTTTCCGCTAAGATCCCTCTCCTGATTCCACCCAGAAATGTTTGTATTGTTTGATCATAAAAATTCAGTCGATGATTTTGGCTGCTTTGTAATTTACCCAGTATTTTTAAAATTCTCATGCTGTCTGCACAACTACATTGTGAATTTTCTTTTGAAGTTCTGTGACCAAGTACCCACCTAGGTCTAAAGGGTACGTGTGGGGTATGTATCTCTATACTTGTGCATTTAAGAAATAACGTTGACTGTTAAATTTCTAAACATTATCTTTTTGTTCTCATTAAAAAGTGCTGCACGAATGTGAGCAGCTCCGGTTTAGGAGTAAGGAAGTGAAACGCGTGGCCTTTGGTCTGCTTTACCATTTGTCCCTGTTAGCACTCAGTGTTGTGCCGTCTTTAATTCAGCAAACCTACATGAAGTGCCTTCTCTTTGTGCTCTTTCTGCATAGATGGTTTATGTGTAAATCAGTACAGCCAGAGACTTGCGAAAGAATCATGGATACGATTTCTGATCGCCTCCGAATTCCTTGGCTTAGGGGAGCGAAAAAACTTAACATTAGCATCGTCCCGCCACTGGTCCTGCTGCCCGGCTTCCTGCACGTGGCGTCCTGGCATTTCCTCCTGGGGGCAGTGGTTTTGACCTCCCTTCCTGTGCTGGCACTGTGGTACTACTACCTCACTCACAGAAGGAAAGAACAGACTTTGTTTTTCCTGAGCCTTGGACTGTTCTCCCTGGGCTACATGTACTATGTGTTCCTGCGGGAAGTGGTCCCCAGAGGGCGCGTGGGGCCCGCTCGGCTGGCTGTTCTCACCTGCGGGTTATTTCTAATACTCTTCGCCTTGTACAGAGCCAAGAAGAATCCAGGCTACCTCAGCAGTCCAGCCAGCAATGCCACCTCCCTGAGCAGCAGCCAAATTGAATGTCTGAGCAAAAAAGCGCAGGAGAAGACCAAGGGGTTCCTCGGAGCAGACCCCTCGGGCAGTCTCAGCAGCCGCGCAGTGAAGGATGATCTTAAGGGTTCCGCCAGGGCGGTGGCCGGAAGCCCCACCAAGGCGAAGGAGGACTGGTGCGCCAAGTGCCAGCTGGTGCGACCAGCCCGGGCGTGGCATTGCCGGATCTGTGGCATGTGTGTGAGGAGAATGGATCATCACTGTGTCTGGTACGTTGGAAAAATCTGGAGGCCTGGAAGGTGTAAATTCACGTACAGCTCTAGCCATATTTGATCTGCCTTTGTGCTATCTTAAAATTTCTCTTCTTCCCAGCTTTACACCTTGGAGATATTTGTGGGCTGTTAGGATGTTCCCACTTAGTCATCGGTTTTTTGGATTTGACACATTTAGTTCTTTCAGTCATTTCCTGAGGGAGAGTAACAGAAGTTTGGGGTGGTTTTTTTTTTTTTTTCTTTCAGTTTTTCTTTGAACTGCTCTTCATTTCTTCTAATAGAGTTGAATGATTTTTTTTTTTTTTAAGTCATTATAAGTGTATTTCTCTGTGCTACTCCTGTTGAGTGCATAGCTCTGGAAAGTGTTCCCTATTTTTAGGTGACTCTTATTCTCTTGGCAAACCTCCTTATTCATTTGTTGTTGGTGGTTTTTTTTGAGACAAGTTCTCACTATGTAGTGCAGTCTGGCCTTGAACTCACAGCGATCCTCTTGTCTCAGCCTCACGAGTGCTGGATTCCAGGCCTCTACCACCATGCCTGGCCTTAATCATTTTTGATACTACTCATAACTTCCAGGATTGTGGCGGTGAGGTACTACCAGTTAACTTTTTATGTAGTTGTTGCAGAGAAATGGATTTTCGCACTTCTAGCTGGCCAGTGACAGCGGAAGGCACATAAGGCCTATAGGGTACAAACTACAACATTTAAAGATAATGCTGGAGCTTTGAGGAGTGACCAAAGGGAGGGTAGTTATTCAGTAAGCTTGTGTTTGTAGCATCATTGCTCATAAGGCAGTCATTGTCATGAATTATGTTTCTTGGGCATGTAGATGCCCCCACTTCAGGAGGGGGCTGGCGGGGGGCAGGAAGGCCAGCAGGGCATGTGAGTGACCAAGGTTCCACCTGTTCATCTCTGCCGTTTACTCCATGTGTGCCGGCCCATTTACAAATGCTGGCTTGAGAGAGCCTTGCGGCCCCTCCTAGAGGAAACCTCTGCTCAGCGGAGCCTCCTGAGGTCACGGGCTCGAGAGACCCCCTGGACAGGCTGCACACAGATGGCCACGGCTCGGGACTGTTTATACCGGAATGGTGGTCTGCATATTTTTGAGTTACTCTTCACTCCACACCATAGTTCGAATTTCTTTGGGTCTCATAGGATTGTCTTATATACTTAACATATATTTTCCTATACTCTGTAATGCTCAGATTTATCATTACTTAAGTTTTCATAAGTCTGCTGTATCTCTTCCTTAGCATGGTGATAACAAAAATAGCAGCACTACTAATATTTAGGAAGAGGGGCTGGAAATGTAGCTTGGTGGAGGAATGCTTGCCTAGCACACACAAGGTCCTGAATTTAATCCCTAGCACACAAATACAAATTTAAATGTAAATATGTATATGTGATGTATATATATCATACATACAGATACATATGATTTATATTAAATATAAATATATATAAGGAGAAGCTTTGTTAGCCAGGTGGTATTTTAAGCTTGTCCTGAACTAAATGATAAGGATTTCACTCTGTAAAGAGCAGCAAATAAAAGATTGTATCTCTCAGTGGACAAATTATTAATTCCCTAAAGTTGAAAAAAATAAGTGAACTTACTTTTTAATAACTGAAGTTCATATTACAGTATGCCTGTTTTAACAGCTTTATTCATATGTGAGTTATATAAAGATCTTTAAAACCGTGTTTGCTTCCCCCTCCCCCATGCTGTTTTGAGGATAAATAGCTGCGTTGGAGAGTCAAACCATCAAGCATTTATACTTGCCCTTCTGATCTTCCTGCTCACTTCGGTGTATGGAATAACACTCACCCTGGACACCATTTGTAGAGATAGAAGTGTCTTCACTGCGCTCTTCTATTGTCCTGGAGTTTATTCAAATTACAGGTGAGATGTGGATCCCACAATCAGGAAGCCCAGCAAAGTAACAAAGGTTGCCCTCGAATGGGGCTCTTATCTGCTGCGAGTTAGGCAGAAACACTGTGGGATGCTGGGTATCCTTGACATTGCTGACAAAATCGTGCAGTGATTATGTGCGTTTTTCTAGGGTGATACGAAAAAGATCACTGACGGTTAAGAAATGAGGCAGCTGTACTTTACAAACAGACCCAAGTGTCACCAGGGAGAATCGGTGAATTCCAGAGTCAGATGACCACTGTGTGCCCAAGGTAGCAACATGGCCCTTTGAGCAGTGCTCACCGTCTCTCTAGCCTTTCCTTCCTTACCTCTCATGTTTTTTCCTGTTCTACTTTTTCTTTTTTAACACCACTCATGGTTACTGTTATCTAGGTCAAATCTCCTAGGCACTGGTAGGTGGGGGCCCATTTATAATGAAGATTTCCTTGCAGTTACAAAAGGTGGGATTCTTCAGAGGTGGCCTGGCTGCCGCCACTTTTGACAGCCCCCACCCCCAGCCCTGCCCGTGTTCCTTATCCCTTTCCTGCCCTGTTCTCTGACGTGGGTGCTCTGCGGTGTCTGTGGCTCACTCCTCTTTTTTCGTGCTCTTCATTTTCGGAACAATCCCTGCTTTCTCCGCTTAGTCCCCCTGGGTAGTATCTTTGTTAGTCCATTGACAGATCTCATTGCCGGCCTAGACTGAGACACTTATGGGCACTGTTGGAATAGACCGGTCCTCCTCCTGGGGTAGGGTTCTTTCCTAGACACGTGGGGCGGCTCCTTGGTTGTGAAATTCTTGGCCATTGTTCTACATTAACTGAGAACATGGCCCTGCTTTCCCTGTGCAGAGGCTTCACGTCCCCTTCATCTGTATGGTGAGGTTACTGCATGTCATGTCTCTGAAGTCTCTTTCTGCTTTACCAATGGGTTTCTTTCAAGCTAACTTCATTTGTAAGTGTTGGAGTGAATACAATGAAATAGCAGGTGCCAGACAGCAGACCCCTCCACACAGCCTCATTAGCAGCTGATAGGAGCTTTCCTGCCCTGGGAATCTGGTGTTTGGTAGCTGGTTTGAAATGTTATGGCTTCCTACAGATCTTCTAAGTAGATGAAGGACTTCTTGGGTTGGCAGTTGTCTTCAGCTCTGTGTTCGTCAGCAGTGGACTGGGAAAGAAAGGAGACTAAAACTTGTAGCTGTTCTAGGTCCTGCCCTCAGCTTCCGGGGGAATGTTTATAGCTATCTCAGCAACTCTGTTTTCTCCTGAGTTAAGTACCATTAGGAATTATTCATTGAGCAAATGCGTTCAGTGCCATCATAGCAACAGTGCCGGTTGTGTGGGGGACATAAAATGTAAAAACCAGCCCTTGCTGTTCTATAGAGTATTAAAAAAAGAGGCACCAATAATTATCAAACACAGCATGTTGATTCTCATACATTAAATGTAATCTGGTTATTGATTGGTGTTTTGAGGATAAAGTATCCTCCAGCTTAGAAGATGGAGAAGATACACTACTCTTCAGTAATAAGTAAAAAGTGTAGGGGCTGGGGATTTAGCTCAGTGGCAAAGCGCCTGCCTGGCAAGCGCAAGGTCGTGAGTTCAGTTCCCGGTACCGGAGAAAAACCAAAAAAAAAAACAAGTGTAGCCAGGCGTGGTGGCCTGCCCTCGTAATACCAGCACTCTGTGAGGCTGAGGCAGGAGAATCACAGGTTGTAGCCCAGTCCGGGCAACTTAGTGACTTCGTGAGATCCTATCTCAAACAACACAAAAAGAGCCGGGGATATAGTTCAGTGTGAAGGCTCTTGAGTTCAAACCCGAGTACTGAGCACTATAAACTGTGTGAGTGGTGACAGCGTGGGGAGTGTGACAAACACAGCAGCAGTGCTGACTGGTCTTTTTCCCCTCCGCAGCTCTGCGCTGTCCTTCACCTGCGTGTGGTACTCTGTGATCATCACCGCGGGGATGGCCTACATCTTCCTGATCCAGCTGATAAACATCAGCTACAACGTGACCGAGAGGGAAGTGCAGCAGGCCCTTCGGCAGAAGACTGGGCACCGGCTCCTCTGGGGGCTCATCGTGGACACGGGCCAGTACAACAGGGGCTTCCTGCGGAACTGGCACGAGTTCTCCACCCTGGGCGCACGTCCGTTCCACCACCCTGCCGAGGACATCGTCTGAAGTGCCTTCCGCGCCGCTCCGAGGGCAGCTCCGCCTCCGCCTCCTCTCCACGTTGCACTTCCGTGTCCACGCAGAATGTTCGTTGCTGTCCCCAGGTTCTCACAGGCGCTCCAGGGCCACGCTCAGGTTTGGAGACTGGACTGGAGAGAAGTTAATTTTTCTGACCTCACAACTGAAGTTTTTTATAGTGAAGCAGTCAAAGTAGAGCCATTTCTTTCCAGTCACCTTAGTAATTGATGGCAGTCACCAGGAGTTGACAAGGACGTGGATTACTAATGCACAAACTGACAGAAGCAGTTCTTGTCCATTAGTATGGAGGAAGAGTTTTGGATTAGGATTGTTTCTAGTCCCCCTTTCAATTACTAATAGCCATGTGACCCTTAGTTGAGTCACTTTCCGAAGTCTCAGGTTCATCTGTAATGTGGGGTATCGATGCCTGCCCTGGCTACCGCAGAGGCAGTGTGGGGGTCTCGTGAGGAAGGAAGCGTGTGGAAAGCACTACCAAACACCGGAAGCACTGGAGGTGTAAAGTGTTACTGGGAAATCCCAAGACTGAGGAGGAATGTTTGTAGGTCCGAATACTGAAGCCAGTTTTATCAGGGTCATTAGATTTCAAGCATGTACCATGTTGTACAGCAATGAGGATTTCTCCCTAAGTATTAGATGCTAACTACTCTTACAGGGTAGGAGGAGACTAGATGGTTGAAGCTAGTCGTCTGAGCCTGAAAGGACAGTTGGTTACAGTGATGAAGATCATTGTTTTCAGTGTAATACATGTCACGAGTTTAGGTGATGGGTCTTAGCTTTATGTATTCTCTTGGATGTACTGTGTGACTGGCCGCAGGAGGCTTTTATGTTTTTCCCTCTTTCTGTGCTTCACTTGGTAAGGTGCTAACACACTGTGGTGGCGGCGGAAGAGGAACACACACTCCTCCGGGAACACTTTACTCTCTCCTGGGAAGGGAGGCTGGTTAATATCAAGGGCTTGATTTTTTTTTTTTGTTCATTTAATTCAGATGCTGTCAGTTTATAGCACTAAATTGCAAAAAATCAGTCCTGTGGCAGTCACGTTATTCCGGCATGAACTTGCTTCGAAGCCTTGATTGACACCTTCGCGTTTAACTTGCACATTACTTCTCATTCACCTTCCTTACCTGAAAGTGTCTCGCCCGGAGAGAAAGAACGGGGTATGTGTGATTTCCACAGATTAATGGATTACTGTTCCTCCTTGTTCTTTCCCAAATAACAAGCTGTTACTTTAATCATATCTCAAAACTGAAAATACATAAAGGATTACGTATTTATATAGAATGGGTTATTCTGCCAAAGAATTAAGATGGAGTTTCAGACGGGGAAAAATAAACTCTCTTGAAGTGTTTGGTTTCACATATGTACTGTTCTACAGTCCCAAAGATAATTCATGAATCCTTCCGTTTTCCTTGGCTTGTCCCTTCCTCCAGGGAAGATACTGCAAGCTTGTTCTGTGATGCTGCGCATGCTGCCTTAGCAGTGGGTTCATGAGCTGAGAGGAAATACAGCTACTTCCTGCACTCTGCTCTCTGTCGCTAACACTGTCCCTAATCTCTCCATTAAGTGGGGCTGTCCTCAGCACAGTCATCACCTTTTATTCAGGCTTGTCATTGCTGTCCCCAGAGATAAACTGTTTAACGAAGGACAGGCTCCGTATTCCCCTGGGATGAGGCAAGGGGTAAGCCTGGGGCTGGAGCAGACGCTGCGGTTTCCAGTCAGGCCCTCTCCTTGGCCCAGAGTCAGATATCTGCTTAGAATTAAACTTGGCTCTGTTATCCCGTTACCCTCTGTGTAGATGTTTAGATAAGAGAAATGGTAATAATGTCAAGGACAGCACATGTAGGCCGAAATTGGTGGTTTCCACGTCTCTTGAGTGCCGACTGTATAGCCAACTCTGATTTCTAGCAATTGATAATAAAAATTCATAGAAACATTAGTGCAGTCAATAATTGTAGCTCGCCACATCCTTCACAGCAGTCCAAATGTGACGTGATGAAGATGAGTAGTAGCAAGCGAATGAAGCCATGGGAGAGAATTAGGAAGGTTCGCTGTCTTTGTAACAATGCTGCCTAACCAGTTTGGCTGGGTAGGAGCTCCCTGCATATTATTCTGACCAATTGGAATTACGATGCTTATTTTAAGCTCCTTGAGAACTCACTACTGGCACTTTACAGGAGAAAGCTCAGACCTGGAGGGTTTTGGGTTTTGAGGGCTAAAAGCCTTGTGAAGTGTTTGGACCAAAAGGACAAAAAAAAAAAAAAAAAAAAAAGGGCTACCTGTGGGCATGGTTTTTGTAGGCTCTGCCAGATCCTTACTCTAGAGTCCTGGATTCTAGAGCCTTTTTTTGACTTGGGCTTCTTGAGGAATTCTGTGATAGTGCTTGGTTCTCTCCAGGAGGCGGAACTTTCTGTGGAATCTTTAAACAGACAAGGCCTCTGAATCAGCTGCCCCCTGTGAATGAACTGGTGGTGGCCGCAGTGAGTTTCCTGGAAGTCTCTTGGCCATCGATGCAAGCCGCCTCGCCTCAGTGTGATTCCACACGAGCCGGCCTCTGTACGGACACATCCTGGGCGTGGAGCTTAGTAAATGACCTATCTTACATTCTTACCGCTCACGTTGTTACCATGCCGTTATGTGCTGTCCTAGGAGGAGGAATGGGTCTATTTAAAAGATTCAGGGGGGAAATCATTAAAGGTCAGGCTGGGATGAAAGGAGAAAAATCCTTAACATTTAAAAGGAATTGTAGGATACCCACAAAGTCTTTGGTTCTAGCTGGGTGCTCCTGAAAGGAACAGACCATTAACAATGCCTTTTTCTCCAGTTACTCTTGATTGTTGCTAAAGTAAAGCCTTAAGTGTGTTTTCAGGACAATGTGCTGCTTATTTCACTCCCGCCACATATGTGTTTGTGTTCAGGGTGTTGCAGATCTTTGTTCTCCAAGTTGTGTTTTCCTTTGGTGAAGGAAATGATTGTTGTCTTCCACTGTACCATCTGCCTAGAAGAAAGATTGCTGTAAACTTTTTCTTATGCAATAGTCCTTGGTACTTCTAATATTTTTAGCAAAAGAAAATTTTCTATATTAGAATCTTTCACTGCCAGAAAACACAATGCCAGTAAGATTCTACGTAATAGTGAGCATCTGCTTCACACACTCACTCCCTTTG